CGGTCCCCTGAGACGTGTGCTTCGTGCCCGGGGCCCGGGGGCTGGGTGGGGCTGCTGGTGGGAGGCAAGAAACAGTTCTGGCTGCTGGTGGGCCCGTGGCCCGCGCTGTGGGGAGTGAGAGGCCACGGACACGGCGCTCTGAGGGGCTGTTCCTGCAGATGGTCCCGCACACCACACGCGGTCAGGGAGCCCAGAGTCACCCAGATCTCTCGGCCGTTGGTCTAGGACAGCCTCTCTGTTTAAACCTCAGCTCTCAGCACAACCTCTCTGTTTAAACCTCAGCTCTCAGCACGTGATGCGAGCTGTTTGCAAACTGAGCTTCCGAACGACGTCTGAGCTGCCCGGAGCCGAAGGAGTCGGGGGCCCGGGAGGCTGCCGGTTTCCTACCAGCCTCCACGATCCCCGTCCTGCCTTCCACGTGTTCTCACGGAAACCTGCCCTGGGCCGTCCCCCGACCTGCAGGAAAGGACGTTCACCGCCCACACCGCACCCGTGGCATGAGGCGCCGGATGGCTGTGCCACCAGGCCAGACGGAGCAGAGACGCAGGCTCGGCTGACGGCCTCCCGGGGCCACGCGCCCTCCGACCAGGACTTGGGGGCCAGCCGGCTCCGTGGACATGGGGACGCGTGTGTGGTCTGGAGGCGTCTGGGGGACCCGTCTCCCTGTTTGATGCCAGAGAGGCCATGCAGAAAGACATGGGCAACCGTCCTCCCTGCTGAAGGAGGGTCTGTGTTTTCTCAGACAGGACAGGCTGTGGGCACGACACAGGTTTAGGATGGAAAGCGAGACAAGGTGGGACTTCTCAGGCTAACTCGGAGTATCCTTGGGAGGTCCACTGTTGAGGACAGTGTTCGGAGTTCCCCGGAGCACACGCAGGGGCAGGCTGCGGGGCAAACACTCCCGACCAGCCTGCCAGCATCCCCCCACCACAGTGGGCACTTGGGTGCAGACCAGCTAGGGGGCTCCCTCAAACCCAACTCGGTGTCAGTGAAGAGCCACTGAGTATGATGGAAAACCAAGGGCTTAGGACAGACAGGCTGGCATGAATCCTGGTCCTGCCACTGGTGCTGCGGGACTTTGCTCGAGTCTCTGAGCCCCGGATCCCTCACGACACCGTGGGGCTGTAAGTGGCCAATGGGTGGGTGACACACGGGGAAGGTGCCCTGTGGGCTGCCAAGTAGAATGCTCTCATAGAATCAAGAATCCCGCCCCACTCCCCAGGGGCCTGCCTGTCAGCGCCAACCCTCTACCTCCCAAGTCCATCTTGGCAAAATTCACAGCTGGGAGTTTATTCCTCAGGCTGAGCCAAACTAAGCCTTCCTGACCATCTGCCCTGGCCCCACCCTGCCGTCCAGGAGGGGGGTCCTCAGGCCACTCCTAAGCAATCCAATCCCTGAACCAGACTTCAACCCACCCCAGCCTAAGATTCATGGGCACAAATGCAAACCCCAAGACACTGTGAGAAGAAACGTCACATTTTCACGTGGTCTCCACATCCCCTCAGAGGGTGTTGGGGCTCCAACTCCCAGGCAACTTTCAAAGCAAACCGCAGCTGCGGAGGCAGGATGTCCGGGCACAGTAACACGGCTGTGCCCTCCAGTTTCCAGTGGGCCACAGCCTGCCCCTTATTCATTTCACCAAACCAAACATTTTGAAATCAACTGCCTCTGAGAAAGTTGATTTTTGGCTTCTGTAGTTTTGTCGTTTTTGTTTTTTTTTTTTTAATTGAAGCCACTACAAAATCAGGTCAAGTCGGTTTCCGGGGCAACTTTGTATGGAGCCAATAGGCCCACATGCTTCAGAATTACAAGCATTGGCAAGGCTCTGTGACCCGCCGAGTCAGAGGGCTGCTCGGTGCGTGGCGGGGCGCCCGCCATCCCCCGTGCCCGGCTCCCACGTGGCAGCAGGTGCACACTTAGGGAGCACCTGCCTCGCAGCCTGTGCATGCGTGTTGTGGGCAGAGCCTGCCACACAGGAAGGGGCCCACAGGGCCCCCCGACTCAGAGAATCACAGGAACATATGCTGGAATGGAGACGGGTCCACCTGTCTGGGATACACAAGCGCGAGGCCCACATGACCCTTCCTTCTTGAGCAGCAGGACAAAGGAGGGGGTTCATACTACTTCTGGGTGCTGATGGGACGAGAGCATGGCATTCCCATCAGGTGGAACCAGCGCATAGTGCCCCTGAAGGCTGGATGGATCCTGTGGGGCTCAGAGCCCACACATCAACCAGGCTCACCAGGCAAGACGGGCGTCCTGGCCCCAAGGCTCACTGCACCCCTTGGATGCACTGAGACAGGTTAGGAGGGTCACAGGTGTGCACAGACCTGCTCTCACCCCGAGGGCGACTTAACTGACCGGGCTGAGGCAGGCCCTCTGCTCCTATGTCCCGGGCACCGACAGCAAACCCCGCAGAATGCGGGGCCTGAGCTGGGTCTGCAGGAGGGGCTGGGGGGCCGTGGGAGTGTCGGGCCCCCCACAGCGTGGTTGAACTCGGGCAAACTCGTGCACATGGCTTATGCTGGAATCACCATCGGCTTTGGACCAGGCTTGTCTCCGCAGTTTAGAGTTAGTTATTGCTTCTGGAGACAGAAAGGGTCTGGAAGCGCTGTTGGCTCTGGGGTCTGACAAACGTGCAGGCTCGGGGGGCCTGGTCTGTGGGGTGCTCCATGCTGCAGCACACACACCCCGTGCAGCGGGCCCCCGGGGCCTGGTGGTCTGTGGAAGCATCTGGAAGTTTGGGGTGCCTTCTATGCTACTGAGGTTGGGCGTAAGCAGCACACGAGGGACACGCAGCACCCCCCCCCCCCAGTGCCGGGGCTTCCCCAAGCAGGATGCCTTAGGGACGTCACACATCTGGGTAAAGCGTGGCATTCGCACGGGGCCGGGGGCTGTTCTCATTTTTGGTGGGAGTGAACAGGTGTCCCCTGAAACAGTTCACTATTTACAGAGCATTTTAAATAATTTAGAGAGAACCCTACTCGAAAGGCTAACATTTCTCCGTGAATGCTGTACAAGATTAAAAATAAATAAGGCGAGATCATACAGTCTCATCACAAATAAAGAGGAAGACGTCGTGCACCCGCCTCCGAGGGACGCTGTGGGGGCTGCCGCACCCTCGTTGGCGGTAGGGTCTGGACTGCTGATGACAGAAGTGTCGCACGCTCGTGGGAGCTGGGCCTTGGCGCCGCCGTGGATGGTCATGGTGGCCGGCCCAGAGCCGTTGGGTCCCACGGCCTCCCGCCGCTGACACGACCAGTGGCCACGCCTGGCAGGGTTCCGGAGCTCCTGGTTGTGTGGACCCCAGGCCCGGGCCCAGCAGGGCTGGGGGCACCGTGGAGAGTCTCACGGGCGTCCACCTGCCCCCCCGGCTCACCCAGGTCGACACGGAATCCATGGTGTGTGTCTGCGGGGGCGACCAGTTCCTCTCCCCGATGGTTGATGTCAGGTCCCCGCATCTTTAAACAGCTACCTCATGCTTGGACCATCCGGACCGCCCTGCCTCTCTGTCCACTTCGAGGGGGGCAGGTGGTCCACCCAGAGAGCTCAGGATCCTGCCCCCACCTTAAGGCCCATACCTTCAATTCCGTCTGTGAAGTCCCTTTGCCACACGACAGAGCACGGGGTCGGGGTCACGGTGCGGTCTGCCAACCCCCTGCCCTGACCCAGGGGCAGCTTGGCCGCCACCAACAGGCGGGCACCAGGACCCCGGTCAGGTCCTCAGCCCTGCAGCCCGGCACAGACAGGCTCACCACGCGGGCTGCATGCTCACAGGACTCTCTGGATGACTCGGTTTCCCCTGAAGGAATCATGCCATGTCTCTAAAGGCTGAGAAGGACTCAGTGGCCCAGCGCAGAGCTGCTTCTCAGGAGGGAGGCCGTCTGCCCACCTACTTCCGTCCTGAGTCCTGCATCAGCTGGCCTGTCCACACACGGCCCCGCGGCTGCCCAGGCTGGCTGCAACACGGCCGGGCAGGGCTGAGCTCCCACGGAGGATGCCACGCCTCACAAGCACACCATGGGAGCAGCCCGGGGACATCGATGGGGGCTCAGCCAGAGTGAGCCCAGTCCCGCCCGCCGGTGCCAAGCTGCCTTCCTCCTGCAGCCGGAGCCGCCGCCCCGCACCCCCAGCAGCACATCCCACGTGTCCTCAGTCTGCACCTGTGCGCGTGGGAGACCCCCAGACCTCCCCAGAGTCAACTGCAGCACTCTCCGCACAGGTGCAGCCCACACTCACTCCGAAATCCCACGTCCGGGGTGCGGGCTCATCCACCCAGGAAGCTTGTGCTGTTGTGAGGAGAGCAGGAGCCCCAGACGCGGGGACAGCAAGGGGCACGGCGACCCCGACCTCGGTTCCTCCCTTGACGAGAGAGGCCAAGGTCTGTAGGGCCGAGGCCATCTTGGGGGCCGAGGGACAACGCAGGACAGGCAGGCAGAGCAGGGATGATGCTGGTCGGGACACAGAGACGTGGCTCGGGGCCCCAAGAATTCCAGAAGACCTGCCTCTGGGTCTCGGCAAGAAACCGCTCGCGAAGGAAGCCAGCGGGCCCCGCTCTGTGCGGCGGGGCTTCTCCCCAAACCGCCCGTCTGGGCCCCGGGCCTGCCCTTCCAGCCCTGCCGCACACGGGAGGCCTGGCTTCCAGCCGGGGCTGCCGCGGGCCTCCTCGGGGCACGCTCCTGCTCTGCCGGCCACAGCTCCACGGCTCTGGCTCAGCTGAAGCCTGCGGCCGTGGAGCATATTCGCAAGGTCCTGACACCAGACGCTGAGCTGGCCGACCCCAGGCAGCCGCTCCTCGGCCACCGAGGAGAGGACCAAGCGAGCACAGTCCCCTGAAAGCCTCAGCGTCCAGGCGGACAGGGCTCCCCTGGCCCATCACTGCCCGGCTGCTTTGGGTCACGCCTGGACGGCACCCCTTCCGCAGCCCAGCCGCCGGCCACCGGCCCTCCTTTGTAGGCCGGGCTGGTCCCTGCTGGAGCCCCTGAGCCCCCAGCAGCCAGCTAAGCCTCCTTCCCAGCTGCTCCGGGGCGCAGGTGCTGGCCTGGGGGGCCCGGGGGGAGCCCCGAGCCCTGCAGAGCCCCCAGCCCGGCTCTGACCGGGAGGCCGGCCATGGGGGCCACTGGGGGCGGCGGGCCTGTGGCCAGTCTGGTCTGGAGGCCGGCTCGCCCGTAAGCGCACATTTTCCGCTCTGCATTCAGGGACCTGGCCTGGGAGCCATTTCCATCGGTCCGGCCTTCCAGGAAGTACGTCAGCATCTCGCCCTTGCCCTTGACGCTGACCTTCCCGCGGCACACAAAGCGGTAGGTGCCCCTTCGCAGCAGCCGGTGAACCTCCTCGGTCACCTGCAGCGGAGGAAAGCAAGCGAGTGTCCCCGGGGTCAGCGGGGGGGATGCCAGGGGCAGGGCCGCACAGAGGGCTCCCTCCTCCACCCCTCGCGACCTGTCCCCAATATCAGACAGTGCCAGGGGACTCGAGGGGCCCTGGCCGGGACAGCCTGGGGGCCGTGCCGCTACTAGCCCCGGACAAGCCAGGGGAAGCCATGGTCTCTGAGGGGAGGGCCCAGGGTGTGCGGCAGGCTGGACGGGGCACAGAGACGTGGCAGCAGGCCCAGACGGGAGCCCCGTGGCACCCCAGGCATGAGCCAGCGGCCTGGGCAGGAGCCTGGGAGAGCGGGACGGCTAACGTCGGAGTCCCTCGCGCACTTCTTCCAGGAAAGAACCAGATGTCTAATTTGGGCCCGGCAGAGGACGAACTCGTAAAAGGAGCAACGGTGGGGCATGCTTCTCCCCAACACGGGAGGAGGTGCGTGTACGGGGCCGCGGACGGGAGTGGTCCTTCGGCAGAAGGGACGCAGGCAGCACCAGGGGCCCCGACGGACGGACTGCGTCTTAGCCACACTGACAGCAGTCCTGCCCTGGTGCACGCACCCCGGACGCTGACCCCGGGCCTGATGCAGGGGATGGGGCCCCCGTCTGCACAGAGCTCCCCGGTCGCAGGTCCTCTGGGGGACAGGGGCGTTCATGGGACAGCCGAGTGCTCCGTGCCTCGGGGAGTCCAGACACAGACACACAGGGAGGTGGCCGCGGGGAGCGTGCGAAGAACTGCTCCGGCATGCAGAGTGGCTGCCTGGGGGGCTCACAAGGCTTGTCGGACCCCTGGGACCCCAGGAGGTGGGTGCCTGGGTCAGAACGGGGGCACACAGGGCGGTGGTCATCCACAGTACCCCCGTGGGTCTGCCCTGCGCTCTTGGCTCCATGCGGGGAGCCGCACACAGGCCCGGGGGCGGGGGCCGTGGAAGGGGGTCCCTGCAGTGCAACCAGGGGATAGAGACCTGGGAGGCATATCGCCGGAAGCTCAGCAGCCAGGGGAGGCCAGGCCATGAGCAGCAGTCACGTCATGGAGAACGGCCCTGGGGGGCCAGAGAGGATAGGCCCGGTGCTGAGCAGGGGAGAGGCTCGCTGCTCTCTGGTCGTGCAAACTTCGAACCTTCCCGTGAGACAGTGGCCAGCTGAAGAGTGGGCAGGCCTTCGCCAAGTCACCCCCGGGGGTGACCCGGCCCGGGGAGGCGCGGTGTCCCGGGATGGGCTGTGGGATGGCGGCGGGACGACGCAGACGCACTTAGCGCCTTTGAGCCGCACGCTCACGCACGTGAGGATTGTAAATGTTGTGTGTGTTTCACGACAAAACGAGAAATTCGAAGGAAGGACTGCAGATGCCTCCGCTCTGAGCAGAGTCTCCTGACGGGTAAACTGCGGAATCCGAGGGCGCACTGGGCACCTGCCAGAGGCCGGGCGGGGGACCGAACACACGGCCGCAGGAGAGCTGGCAACCTGCGCCTGGGTACACACAGGTCTCGGGGGACCTTGTCAGGGATCAGGGCAGAGGGAGAGGCCAGCGCGGGACCTGGTGCCGCTCACAGAGCACCCTGCTTTCCCCACCCCAGCCCCGTTGGTGCCCAGAGGCCAGCCACCGCCACACACTGGGGGACAGACTCCTTCTCCCCCGAGGCCCCCAGGGGCTGCAGCATGTGCCCCGGCAGACCTGGGTTCACATGGTTGGAAGGGGGGGTCCCAAGAGCCGTCCACACCTGTGCACGCTTGGGAAGAGCAGCCTCTGTCCCAGAGTTTTGGGGGGCTGCTACAGGGTGTCAGAGCCGCCCACAGGCTCCCAGCCAGGCAGCCCCACAGCACCCGCCCTTCCAAACCCAAGGAAGCTCCTCCATCTACGGCAGCCGGGCAGGTGGGCAGGGTCCTGGACGCCAGACGGGCTCGCTGGGACCGCAGCACTCACCTTGCCCCTGCCTCCGCACATGGCCACGTGGGAGCTGACCCCCAAAGCCACAGGACAAACCAAACCAAGACCACCCCTAGTCTCGGGTCCTGCCCTGCAGATCACAGACACACTGCGCTAGGCGGCCTCATGTCCCTGCCCAGAAGAGGGAGGCCGGGCTGGCCCCCCGGCCTTTTGCACCTGTCTCGCACCTGCAGGATGGCACCTGTGCCTCGGGCATCTCTAGTGAACTGACCTGGATTCTGCCCTGGACGCCGGTGCTGTCCATCCGACTGGCCACATTGACCGTGTTTCCCCAAATGTCGTACTGCGGCCTTCGAGCCCCGATCACCCCAGCCACCACGGGGCCAACATTGATGCCTGGAAGACAGCCATGGAGCGCCGTCGGCACCAGCAAACCTTCCGAGGGAATGAGCTGCCCCTCTTGGAGTCATGGATTCCTGGGGTCATCTAGCACCTAGCACAGGGCCCCTTCCTGAAGCAGCAACCCACCACTTGGGAAGAGGTGGCCCCCAGTGTCTGCTCACACATGGACCCCCGGGCATGGAGAGAGTCCCGTTTCCTGGACCAAAGACCCTGCACTGACCCTGCGGCTAGGAAGCCTGGCCTTTCAGGCTGTAGGACTGCAGTGTGTGCCCCTGCAGTCCCTTTCCAGGAGGGACAGTCTCTCCTGACGTTTCCCCTGGCTGCGACCCTGCAGGGCGTTCAAGGTGTGGGGCCCAGAACTGCTCAGCCTTTCGGGATGTTCTGAAGAGGGGAGCGGAGGTCCCCTTCTCTTTACGTGGCTCAAGGGCCGACTTGCCTGAAGAGTGCCAATCACCCGTGTAGCCATCCCGCAACGGGGCTTCCTGATGACACCATGTCATGTGTCCCCATTCTGCACCCGTGCACAGACTTTCTGGGTTAGGCAGGGATGCTCATGATGTCTCAGCCACCGGCCTCATCAGTGCCTCAGGCCCGGCAGCGGGATGGCCCTGGGGTGGAGCCGGGGACCAGACAAGGGCCTGAGGGGCCGCTCCCCCATGGCTGCTGCGACGTGAACCAGACAGAGCCCGCCTGCAGGGTGGAAGGGCCTGGGCTCGCACCCCGCCAGGTCCCCCAGGGGAGCGGGAACAGTGTCTGTTTCCCAGAACATCACTACACGGAGGGTGGAGCTCCAGCGGAAGACAAAGCCAGAACGTGGGCATGCGGGCCTGGCTGTGCTGGGAGAACGCCCCCCGCTCCTGTGGGCCCCTACTGTTACCGTCCTCATGCCATCCCGGCTAGGACCACCACTTTGGGGGCATTTTCCTCCGGCTGCATGTGGACTCAGAGGTATTCCGAGAGCTGGACGGCGCCCCTTTGGGTCCTTGGTCCCAGGTGCCAATGCTCAGAGGCAGGGTCCCTGTGTTCCCAGGCCCGCCCCTGAGAGGCCCCACCCACTTCCTGGGAGGCCCCGCCCCCCTTCCTGAGACACGGGTCGGGTGGGCGCAGCGTTCTGGCCTGAGTGGCCACCGCCCAGAGCCACATACCGACGCGGAGCACAAAGTCGTTGTAAGACTGGTAGTTGATTTCATCCAAGACGTCGAACATCTCGATGGCGAAGTCCGCCAGCGTGCTGAGGTGTGAGGAGATGCACTTCTTTGCCTGCGCATGAGCAGACGGGGGTTACCACGTTTGGGGGTGCGAGGGCAAGGTTGGGGGCCGGGGACGCTCAGGAGGCACCCTACCATACCCGCGGGGGATCAGGGACCGGACCCCACAGTCACAAGTGCACCCACCGCCTGCAGGCTGGGCGCTGGCTTGGCGTCAGCCCCTCGACGGGCTGGACCCCCCTGCGGGCAGGGGCGGGGGGCAGCCGCGGTGCACAGGGAAGCAGGCCAGTCTCCCCTACACAGAGCCCGTGGCCCCCACTGCTTTGTGCAGCTCACACGGTCTCTCTCGTGCCAAACAATGACATCGGTCAATTTTCTTCTTTTGGTTAGAGTCCCGACGACTGCCCTCCCTCCCACGGTTCCCCTCCTGGTCACCTCCTGGTAGGATCTTCCCTAAAACTGAAGTGCTCACAGTGACCCACGACGGTTAACTGCAGTCCGAAGTTTACATTAGGCTTCGCTGTATGTGTGTACATCCTGTGGGTTTCCACAAATGCGGAATTTCGTGCACCCACAATTGTAGTATAACACAGAGCGGCCTCACTGCACCCCCCTGCATGCCCGCGTGTTCAACCCCTCCCCCAGCCCCCTGGCAACCCCTGATCCTTCTACCGTCTCCATAGTTTGCCTCTTCCAGAAGGTTCCATAATTGGAATCCTATAGCATCAGACTTTTCAGATTGGCTTCTTGCATCAGTAATATGCATTCATGTTTCCTCCACATCTTGCCATGGAGTGATCGCTCATTCCTTTTTAGCGCTGAATAACATCTCCTTGTCTGGATGGACCACAGTGCATTATCCGTTCACCCAATGAAGGACATCATGGTTGCTTGCAAGCTTTGGCAATTATGAATAAAGCTGCTGTAAACATCCATGTCAGACATTTTGTGGAAATAAGTTGCCCGCTCCTGGGGCGCCTGGGTGGCTCAGTCAGTTAAGCATCTGCCTTCAGCTCAGGTTATGATCCCAGGGTCCTAGGGTCGAGCCCCACATCGGGCTCCCTGCTCAGTGGGGAGCCTGCTTCTCCCTCTCCCTCTCCCACTGTGCTCGCTCGCTCTCAGATAAATAAATAAAATCTTTAAAAAAAAAAAAGTTGTCTGCTCCCTTGGGTAAATGCCAAGGAGCGTGACAGCTGGATCGTAGGGTAAGAGTATATTTCGTTTTGTAAGGAATGGCCAGACTGTCTTCCAGAGAGGCTGCGCCACTCTGCATCCCCACCAGCAATGGGTGGGCGTTCCTGCCACTCTGCATCCTCGCCAGCACTGGGTGTCCTCCGGGTTCTGGATGTTGGCCGTTCTGATCAGTGTGGTGTCTCGTTGTCTTAATTTACATTTCCCCATAACACGTAATACGAAGCTTCTCCCTAGACTTACGTCTCATGTGTACCTTCTTCAGTGAGATGTCTGTTCAGATCTTTTGCCCACTTTTTCATCAGGTTGTCTGTTTTCTTATTGTTGAGTTTTAAGAGTTCTTTGTATATTTTATTTTTATTTTATTTTTTTAAGTTGGTTCCACACTCAGCGTGGAGCCCAAAGTGGGGCTTGAACCCACAACCCTCAGATCAAAACCTGAGCTGAGCTCAAGAGTCAGACACTTAACCAACTGAGCCATTCAGGTGCCCCAGGAGTTCTTTGTACATTTTAGATCCAACTCCTTCATCAGATAGTGGTTTACAAAGATTTTTCCCTCAGCCTGTGGATTGTCTTTTCATTATAGTATCTCCCACACAGAATTTTAAATTCTTAATTACATCCAACATAACGACGTTTTCTTCCGTGGATCATGCTTTTGGTGTTGTATCTAAAAACTCATCACCAAACCCAAGGGCACCTAGATCTTCTCTTACGCTATCTTCTAGATGTTTAATACATCTGCCTTTTACGTTGAGGTCTATGATCCATTCTAAGTTAATACATTTTGCGTTAACATTCTGCTAAATATAGACGGATGTGCAGGTGTCCCAGCACTGTGTGTTGTCGGCTACCTTTGCTCCATTTGCTCTTTCATCAAAGATCTGTTGACTCTACTGATAAGGGTCTATGTCTGGGCTCTCTATTCTGTTCCATTGATCTAGCCGTCTGTTCTTCCCCAACCTCACCCTTTCTAGTTGACCTTAAAGTCAGTCATGTCAGCCTCCAACTCCGTTCTGTTTCTACTGTACTGTGTTAACTTACTCTGGGTCTTTTGCCTCCATGTAAACTTAGGATCAGTTGGTCAACACCACAAAATAAACTGTTGGACTTTTGAGTGGGATTGTGTAAATCTTTAAGGTCAATTGACGACAACTGACCTCTTGACCATGAGTCTTCCTGTGCTCAGAGGAACATTACCTTTCCACTTACTTAGATCTTTGATTTCTTGCATCAAAGTTTTAGTTTTCCTCACAGAGATACTGTGGTAGTTATTTTGTTAAACCTGTACCTTGTATTTAATTTTGGGGGTGCTACTATAAATGGCATTGTGTTTTTGATTTCAAATTCCACTTGCTTATTGCTGGTGTGTAGGGAAATGACTTATTTGGTAATCTTGTTTCCTGCAACCTTCCTATGGTTGCTTATTATAGACATTTTGTGGATTCTATTTTCTACATAGATAATCATGTCATCTGTGAAGAGGGACAGTTTTATTTCTTCCTCCCCAGTCTGTGTACCTTTATTTCGTTTTCTTATCTTACTGCACTAGATAAGACTTGCAGTACGAATGTCAAACAGGAGTGATGACAAGGGGCATTCTTGCCACACTCTTGATCTGAGGGGGAGGCTTTGTTTCTCATCAAGTATGATGGAAAACTACTGGGTTTTTATGGATGTTCTTTACCTAGTTGACAAAGTTTCTATTCGTAGAGTTTGCTCACAGTCGTGGTTTTTTAAAAGCGGGAATGGGTGCTGGATGTTGTCAAATGACTGTTCTGCATCAATTAATTGACACGATCATATATGATTTCTCTTCTTTATCCTGTTGATATAGTAAATTTCATGAACTCACTTCGAAATGTTGCACAAGCCTTGCTCTTTTTTTTAATTTTATTTATTTATTTTTAAAGATTTTATTTATTTGAGAGAGAGGATGAGAGAGAGAGAGAGAGCACGAGAGGGGGGAGCGAGAGAGGGAGAAGCAGACTCCCCGCTGAGCAGGGAGCCCGATGTGGGACTCGATCCCAGGACTCCAGGATCATGACCTGAGCCGAAGGCAGTTGCTTAGCCAACTGAGCCACCCAGGCATCCCAGACTTGCTATCTTTTTTTTTCACTAATAAAATGAGTTTATTTTATATTAAAGTTTTCAAAAAACACATTTGTAAAATTACCCCCATACTAGGCCTCAAGAGAGCCTTTACAAAGAGTTTAAAAAATTACAAAACAGTTTTCTCTGAACTATGAAAGTACACAGATTTAAGAGGTGTTAGAGGAGAAAATGTTAATTCATGGTCAATTAAAAAAAAAAGTTAATATACAACAAATCTGTAGGATACTACTAGAAGATTAAATCCTTAACCATTTAGAGGAAAAAGCTATATTTTTCTTGGTATCTTGATATCTAATTCCAACTTCTTTGTGGTCTATTGTTCTTTTCATACAATGTTGGCTTCAATCTGCTGATATTTGTTGAAGACTTACACGTCTCTACTCATGAGCAATACAGGCTTGTGATTTTCCTTCCTTGTAGTTTCTTTATCTGGTTTTCATATTATTTCATATTATTATATGGTACTCTATGGACTCATAGAATGAGTTAGAAAGAAATGAGTTAGAAACTTCTACGTTCTGGAAGAGATTTTAGAGAATTGGTATAATTTCTTCCTTAAATGTTCAGTGAACCCATCTGGGCCCCCTCCTGTTTTGGAAGGTTACTAACTACTGACTCAATTTCTTTAATAGATATGGGACCGGTAAAATTTTTTATTTCCCCTTGTTTGAGTTTTGGTAGATTGTGGCTTTCAGGGAATTGGTCCATTTGATTGAAATGATCACATTTGTGGGCACGGAGTTGTTCATAACATACCTTTTCCCCCTTTGGTTCAGTACAAGTGTCCCGACTTCCATTTCTAATATTAGTAACTTGAGTTTTCTCTTTTCCTCAGTTAGCCTGGATAGAGGTTATCAACTTTATTGACTTTTCAAACAGTCAGATTTGAGTTTCATTGACTTTTTTTTAAAGATTTTATTTATTTATTTACTTACTTACTTATTTATAGCATGAGCAAGGGGAGGGGCAGGAGGGGAGAGAGGGAGGGAGAGAATCTCAAGCAGACTCCACACTGAGCACGGAGCCCAACGCAGGGCTTGATCTCACAACCCTGAGATCGTGACCTGAGCCGAAATCAGGAGTTGGGCGCTTAACCGACTGAGCCACCCAAGCACCCCATTATTGATTTTCTTTTGTGCTTACTTGTTTTCAATTTCATTGATTTGTGCTCTGATTTTTTTTCTCTCTATGCTTACCAGAGGTTTATATTGTTCTTTCTGTGGTTTCCTAAAGTGGGAGCATAGATAATTGATTTTGGATTGCTCTTCTTTTCTAATATAGGACTTCAGTGACACAAATTTCCCTCTAAGGGCTGCTTTTGCTGCATTCCACAGACCTTGATAAATTGTATTTTCATTTTTATTTCGTTCAAAACATTTTTAAACTTCTCCTGAGATTTCTTCTTTGACTCATGTCATTTAGACAAGTGTTAATCTCCAAATATTTTGGAATTTTCCAATGATCTCCCCATCAATCGATTTCTAGTTTAATTCCATTCTGGTCTGAGAACATACTTTATATGATTTCAGTGGTTTTAAACTTCTTAAGGTGTGTTTTGCAGCCCAAAATGTGGTCCATCTTGGTAAATGTTCCACATGAGCTTGAGAAGAATGTGTGTTCTGCTGTTGTTGCATGACGTTGTCTGTAGGTGTCAATTTTATCCAGGTGCTTGATGATGTTGTTCCCTTCAACCATCTTTGCAGATACACAACCCACTGGATCTGCGAATTACTAAGAGGGGTGTTGTAGTCTCCAACTATAACAGTGGGTTCATCTGTTCCTCCTCACGGTTCCATCTGTGCTTTGCCTTGCGTATTCTGACCCACTGTTGTTAGGTGCATACATGTTAAAGACTCTTATGTCTTTCTGGAGAATTAACTCCTTTATTATTTTGCAGTCTCCCTTTTTATCTGTCTGATAATTTTCCTTGATCTGAAGTTTGCTTTGTCTTAAGATTGCTACCTAAACTTGTTTTATTAGTGCTAGAATGGTACCTCCTTCTACATCCTTTATCTTTAAGGTATCTGTTTCTTTATATTTTAAGTGTGTTTCTTGCGGCAAACCTAGTTGGGTCTTGTGTTTTCGGCCACTCTGTCAGTCTCTTTTAATTAGCATATTTACACTCCCATTTAAAGTGATTATTGAAATAGTTGAATTAGTATCTCCCATATTTATAACTGTTTTCCATTCATTGCATGTTCTTTTTTTACATCTTCCATTCTTTTCCTCCCCTTTTTTTAGGGGTAACCTGAGGACTTTATTCACAATTCTGCACTGGGAAAGGGGAACACTCCATGGTGCTGGGCTGGCAGGACTGGGGTGCAGCTGGTAGGAAGAGGCAGGGCTGGTGGGGGAGGGTCGGTGGGGCAGGGGAGGGCCGGAGGAAGCCCCCGAGACTGGCCTCAGTGCTGACTTTCCATGGGAGACTGTTTGGAGAGAGCTGGCCACTGAATGGACAGCCCACGGGCCACTGCCCTGACCCGATGCTAGGGCAGACTGGGGCTCAGAGCAGGGAACCTGCCCAGAGTCCCAGAGAAGTTTGGGGCAGAGCTGAGACCCAGTCCCTGAGCAGCAACACCCTGGACAGCACTCACCTTGGTCCCGGTTGTGGGCGCTAGCCCCACCGCAGCCATGTAGGTGCTCCCGATGGTCTTGATCTTCTCCAGGTCCTTGTAAAAGTCTTTGTCCATGAGCTTTGTTTAAAACACAAAACAGTGAGATGTTACGTAACATGCGAGAGAAGCCACCATGGGAGCCACCCCAGGGCGGACAAGCCTGTTCTGGGAAGCAGTGTATCTCTTCTGTTGTGGGCACTAGACAAGGTCTGGGCCAATCTGAGGGGTGCCAGCAAGGGCGTGGGGAAGAGGAGCCCAGGAGGGACCATGCAGAGCACCCTGTCCTGCAGCAGCAACCTCAGGCTTACCCTGGAGGCGACGCCCCTGGGCAGGGAGCAGGGCTAGTGCCGACCCCAGGCTCCTGCCCACCCGTCCTGGAGGTGAGGCCACCAGCCAAGCCAGCCTGTACTAGGTAGGGGTCAGGTGTCAGCACCCACCTCCAGAACTCAGAGCCTGCAGGCGGCAAAGGCCCCTCCTCCATGTTCAGGGTCATTTTGGACCCCCCAGGGGACAGAATACACGGGCTTCCTACCAGTTCCGTGTGCGGGGAATGTGCCACGTTGTGGGGCACCATTCAGGGGCGGCCCTCACCTCGTCAAAGTCAGCGATGATCTCGTTCAGGAGGCGCAAACACTCCACCCCCATGTTGTTGCCATCCAGCTCGATGTAGAAGTCGTCAAAGTTGGGGATGGAGGCGAACATGACACCCACCTGCGAGTAGGACTGGTAGTACAGGTCCTGGGGGCAAAGGTAAGGTCAGCCGCGGCGCCGGGGACAGCAGGTGCAGGCAGGGGAGGAGGGCGGCGGGCAAGGACGCATGGACTCTGTGCCGCCCCAGGACCCAGCCCCATGAACCCAAAGCCCTGGAAGCTTCCAGTCAAAGCCGGTCAGGCCGAGCCGTGGGCCCCGTGCCTTTAGGATCTAAAACGCTAACCAAGCCTTTTTATTTCTGAGTTGGCGTTGTGAGCTCTGCTCTGTGGGTGGTTCCAGAGCCTCCCTCCACTGGCCGCTGTAATTAGGAAGCTCAGGCCCACCCGGCTGCCCTGAACCCAGGTTTTCTGAAGCCCATTCTCCCCCCGCATGCAGGGTGACAGATGCTCTGCTCTCTCCTGGGACCAAGAGTGGGGACTTCTCACCCCCGGAGTCTCCTGCTGCCCAGGGCTGGGCAGAGGAGGACCCACTCAAGCCTCGGTGTGGCCAGGGCTCAGAAACAGCCATGCTTTGCAATTTCAAGCAGAGACGTGATGGGAGGGTCCCTCTGGGTGGGACCTCCAGCCGCAGACCTGTGAGCCCTGCCAGAACAGCCCGGCTTGGTGAAGCAGGAGGCAGGTACAGCACGCTCACCATGTTCCGGGGGTTGGACATGAGGAAGTGCTGAGCAACGTGGGCCGGCAGGAGGTTGAAGAGAATCCTCTTGTTGTCCAGCTTCACCCTCTCCATGTCGTCTCTCTCCTCCTCTGCCTGAGGGGGCAGACCCTCTGTCACCCGCTCAGCTTCTGCCCCGCACTCAGCACCCCCTGTGGCAGACTCTCCCAGACAAGGCCGACCAGGACCCCTGATGCCTCCCAGCCAGGCCCTGCATGGGCGTCTGAGTGTCTCAGCATCACCCGGTCTCAGCAGAAGCAGGAATCCAGCCAGACCCCACCCTGGACATCTGACGGGGCTCGTCAGCCTCTCGCTCCCAGGTAACACCTAATGCCCTGCATTGCCTTCAGCCGGAAGCCTGTTAGGTCAGACCCCTCAGACCCCTCACCCCTGACATTTCCCCTCGGTGATTTTCTGTCTGCTGACCCCTACCTGCTCCTTGGCGATAAGCCCCCCTTGCCCGGGCCACACCTGTCCCGATGGCTCTAAATGACATCTGGCTCACACTGTTCACGGTGCCATGAGTCACCTTTCCTGTAACACCAAGCTCTTTCCAATCATCTGAACAAGACTGCAAGGGTGCAGATCCACGGTCTACACAGGTTCCACTCCACACCCCCTCCCCACGCAGAGCCGCTGCATCCCAACTTCACGGGGGCCCAGAGGAGCCACGAATTTCTGAGGAATTCTCCACCCTGATCAGCTGGAACTTTCAAAGGACAGACAGTGGGGGGTTCACCCCATTTCCAGGGTATGCTCCCCACTACCTTCTGGGACCCAGACACCCGGAGCAGCTGAGACACGAGCCTGCTCCCAGGTCACACTGGCCCCCAGGCAGCCTCCAATGTGCCCCAGAACATTCACGGGGCACCTGCCGCCTGTGTCAGTCACTCGGGACGCCCAAAGCCAGGCAGCCAACCCCATCTCCTCTAGAATCTCCCCACCTCCAGCAGGATTCACGTCCTGGGCACTGAGATAGGGGGACCTGCAGGGACCTGGGGTTGGGGACGGATACAGCAGCAACAGGACTCAACAGGAGTGCAGACTCCCTGGAGCAGGGGGTATGGGCCAAGGGAGCCCTCCCAGGGTATGCTGCTGGGCAGGTGGAGGACCTCTGAGCCACAGGGCCTTTGCACAGACTAATGAAACCAGCAGCAATGCACCCCTGGCCTGTGGCAGCCACACCAGCCCTTAGAGACAGAAGCCACCAGATGGCCATTGGTCACTCACCCTAGCTCCCCAAACTGGCACCCAGGCCGATCGGAGAGGAGGAGCAGTTTGGGGAACATTTCTAGGGCTGCCTCAGCCTTGTGGACACTGGCCTCTGGCAGTGACGACAGTGACACAGGGATGCCTGTTGGCAGCCTTCAGCCTGCCCATCAAAGCTGGGGTTTGGAGGCGCCCTTCCCCAGTCTGGTCCTGCTTCATGGCCAGCTTCCTCATCGTAAAATGGATGGAAAATCCTCAATTTCAGGGTCTTACTTATCAAGGGTTAGGAGAGCATGTGCTACCTACTAAGCCTGGAATTGTCCATTCCTGTTAAGTCAGTACAATTTCCACCGGTTAAAGTGGGAAGGGGTAACTCCCAGAGACAGAGCTGCAGACACCAGGCACGAGGACGCCTGGAGCATGGAGGACAGCACAGCCAGGATGAGGGACCCAGCCAGCAGCCCTGGGCCCCCTCTGGGCGCCATGCTAGGGACACGACCACGGGTGGGCCACAGGACCACAAGTTATCAAGGAGCCTGGCAACAGGATGGGCTTCGTCCTCCTCCTCACAGCGCACAGTCGGGCATCGGTGGGCCGGGGAGAAGGAGCCCAGGAGCTCCAAGACCTGGTGGAGACGAGCCGGCCTCTGCAGGAGGGAGGCTGAGCTGTGGGAGAAAGGGAAACACCAGAAGGAAGCCGGGAACCTCTCCTAGGACGCGTGCGATTCATCACCTTTCGACACATGTGCCCTGACAGACACCAAAAGATCTTTGCAGGATTTTAAGAGAGCGGTTTTATTTGTTAATGGCACTAAAAATTTTACTCTCCCCCAAATATCGTTAGTGTTAAGGATCCTTTAAAGAAAGCAACGTAAGTGAAAGCACTTCAGCGTTGTAAAATAAAGAATCTTGGTTTATCGCTTTGTGATCAAAAGCTTTGGTTCTAAGTTCAGTGTCTTTCAACTGACTTAGAATTCACTGACATTAATAGCCCATCAGTAGCAAAAAATCATTCTGTTCTTTAATCCATCCACGGCTACATTACATGTGATGGATAAATGTCCATCTTCTTACAAATTAAGCAGAAGAAGTTGTATTATTGTATTTTTAACGAATATGATGAAAACCCACTGAAATTCTCTGTTCGTGAGATTTTCCTGCCAACCAAGAAACCCTAAGTATTGGTGAGAAAGAGCTGGTGTAGGTGACATACGCTATTCCTGTCACCACATGAGAGACACGACCAACACCCCATTTTCTTTTTTTTTTTTAAGATTTTATTTATTTGTTTGAGAGAGAGACAGAGATAGCAACAGAGAGCACAAGCAGGGAGAAGCAGGCTTCCCGCAGAGCAAGGAGCCCGATGCGGGGCTAGATCCCAGGACCCTGGGATCATGACCTGAGCCGAAGGCAGACACTTGACTGAGCCACCCAAGCGCCCCCAACAACACCCCATTTTCAAGCTGTTCCCTCTGCAGTGGAGCTTGTTTCAAAAGGCATTTCCCTTCTCATACGTCAGAATCTGACCTGGGGCTTTAAGGGACAGAATGTAGGAGCAGACATCTCAGAAATTACTTCCCGGGGTGCACCTACAGACAGGTACGTGGCACCTGAGAAGGGCTCATGGGCTGGGGGCACGGTCTCTCCATAAACAGAACAAAACAAAACAGCATTACATGACAAGTCCCGGATCTGCTGACACAGATGACCAGTGGGCTGTTTGTGCAGTGACTGTCACCGTGACCCCCCCCCAGAGTGCTGCCAAGACTTTTTATCTAACCAACCAGACCAGCACACCCCTCCCAGTGCCTGGAATCAAGGACATACTCACTCAAAATGAACACCTGGTCACACTCAGCCTGGGAAGTGACATCCCTGCCTCCCCCTGGAGGTGACATCTGGCCGGAGGCAGATGGCCACTGCCAGCTCATACTTCAAATAGTAGGAAAGTGCATTTCTTAATTTCCAGAACACTCACCATGAACAGAGCTGCTGATGCTGCACTAGGGTCCTCCAGAGAAAAGAACCAACAGGACACGGGCAGACATAAGAGATTTATTACCAGGATGTGGCTCATGAGATCATGGAGGCTGAGCAGTCCCACCCTCTGCTCTCTGTAAGCGATGCCCAGGAGAGCCAGTGGTGGTTCCCATCCAAACCCAAAGGCCTGAGAATGAGGGGAACTGAGGTCAGAAGACCAATGTCCCAGCTCAACCATCCAGCAGGAGGGGCTGAAATCTTCCTTTGCCTTTTTGTTCTATTCAGGCCTTCAACCTGAACTTATCTAGGTCCCCAAAAGGGGATCAAAGTGATATTTGTGGCATACAAGAATACTCAGCCCCCAGAAACTAAAATTCACAATGCCTAACATCTAACTAAAAATTAGCAGATACAGAGAAGCAGAGAAGTATAACTCATAACGAAGAGGGAAACAAATCAGTTGATATTGACCTACAGGCGTGCAGTCGGTGGGCTGAGTTAAGATGATTCATTCAAAAAGCTGGAGGAAACATGGTAAGTAGAGAAAAAGGAGATATGAAAGAGACCCAAATCAAAGTTCTAAAAATGAAAACTACAAAATCTGAGATGGGAAATGCACGGGCAGGATTAATGAAAGACTAACTACTGCAGCAGAAACGAGAATAAACGTGAAACGTGAAAACAGCAGTGAAAAGCAATGAATGTAAATGGACTAAATGCTCCAATTAAAAGACATGGGATATCAGAATGGATACAAAAAATAAGACCCATCGATATGCTGTCTGCAAGAGACTCATTTTGGACCTAAAGACACCTGCAGATTGAAAGTGAATGGATGGAGAACCACTGGACACCAAAAGAAAGCTGGAGTAGCCATACTTCTATCAGACAAACTAGACTTTAAACCAAAGACTGTGGGCGCCTGGGTGGCTCAGTTGGTTAAGCGACTGCCTTCGGCTCAGGTCATGATCCTGGAGTCCCGGGATCGAGTCCCGCATCGGGCTCCCTGCTCAGCGGGGAGTCTGCTTCTCCCTCTGACCCTCTTCCCTCTCATGCTCTCTATCTCTCATTCTCTCTCTCTCAAATAAATAAATAAAATCTTTAAAAAAAAAAAAATAAAAAAAAATAAACCAAAGACTGTAACAAGAGATGAAGAAGGGCACTATATCATAATAAAGGGGTCTATCCATCAAGAAGATTTACAATTGTAAATATTTATGCTCCCAACTTGGGTGCACCCAAATATGTAAATCAATTAATAACAAACATAAAAGAATTCAAAAATAGTAGAGGCCTTTAACACCTCACTCACAGCAATGGACAGATTACCTAAGCAGAAAATCAACAAGGAAACAATGGCTTTGAATGATACCATAGACCAGATGGACTTAACAGATATATTCAGAACATTCCATCCTAAAGCAGCAGAATACACATTCTTTTCAAGTGCACATGGGACTTTCTCCAGAATAGATCACATCACAAATCAGGCCACAGCAAGTACAAAAAGATTGAGATCATAGCATGCATATTTTCCAACCACAACACTATGAAACTTGAAGTCACCCATAAGAAAAAATTTGGAAAGGCCACAAATACATGGAGATTGAACCTACTAAAGAATGAATGGTGGGTGCCTGGGTGGCTCAGTTGGCTAAGTGTCTGCTTTTGGCTCAAGTCATGATCCCAGAGTCCTGGGATCAAGCCCTGCATCAGGCTCCCTGCTCAGCAGGGAGTCTGCCTCTCCCTCTCCTTCTGTCCCTCCCCTGAGGCTTGTACTTGCACGTGTGCTCGCTCTCTCTCTCTCAAATAAATAAAATCTTTTTAAAAAAAAAGAACGAATGGGTGAACCAGGAAATTAAAGAATAAATAAAAAATACATGGAAACAAATGAAAAGAAAACACAAC